GTACTAAAGTTGTACTACAAAGTCGCCAGTTCTCAGGTTCCAGCTCCCAGCAGAGGTTGAGAGACCTCATAGGACATCCTATCTGGCCTTGGCCCCGATAGTACATTCAGTCCTTATAGGACATCATGTTCTTGAGCCAGGGTCAGCGAAAGGATCCGGAGGATCATAAAGAAAAACAACCAAGAACACATGGTCTAGCAAAAGGATCCGGAGGATCATAAACAAAACCACTCAAAAACACAACTTCATGCACACTTCCATTCAAAAATTCTGCATCGCACTTTTCACTTCAAGTGCCAACAAGCCATCGTAGGCACACACAGATGTTGTACCGGTCTAATGCCCTTAGGGAAAAGACACATGGATGCACGCCAGTCAGTATCGACTTTACACGGCGGATCATGTCTTCGTCGAGCATGCATCCATAGTAGCGTGGATTGCCCCTTGTGGGCAGGAAATCGAAAATCAAGTGCTCCAAGCTGTGCATCTTAGGCCGCACTGGAAAGAGAAGGCGTCCATTATTCAATGCCCAATTTGACAATCCTGAGACCAACCGCTAGTCTTAGGACAAAATATTCAAGGTTCTCCCGCTCAAACATGCAACTAAGGTTCTGTTGTAATGAACCCGGTACTGCATGTACCAAGTTTCACACGCACCAACCACATTCTCTGGCATTGGGCCAGCCTTGTGTTCATTGAACGCTGTGAACATCTTGGCAAAGCAGTGGAATACAATTTCCAGCCACCTTGAACAGATGCAAAGGCAGCCAAAATGCAAACAACAGATATTTCACCTGTATGGTGGGCAAAGCAGTCGAAATGCACACAAACTTTTATTGCTAGCCTTGCCTGTGCACATCCGTTGGAAACTTGCGCGCAATTTGCGCTGACAGCAGCGTCATGAAGAATACCATAACACGGCTCGAAGCACCATTGATCTTCTTTTGACCAATTGATGGGTATGCAGATTTCTTTGGCTGAATGGTCTGTGTTTGGAAAAGGATAGAACGAGCACGACTTCCATGAGGAATTCCTCAGAACAAACACAAATTGCACAATGTGTAAAACATTGTAAAACCATGTGGTCATACATGTGACGCTTCAAAAATGTGGTGCGAAACGATCATTCCAAGTTTCGGTTCTCGTGACACCAGCTAGCATATTCTTCGAAGATTGCATTCAATCGGTCGTCGCGCGTTCTTCCTTCAAACACTTCATTGTTGTCAGTGTATATCATCAGTGCCGAGGAGTCGAGGTCAATAAGGATGGTAAGGTCCACGATATGTGAAGTATATCTGGATAAATACCTACAGTCCGTTTATCTCACAACCATGTTTGAGTCCATGGATTTGATTTCCAAAGTTGTTCCATTGAAAGAATTAACACTGCAGCTGGATTGCGAAAGTGGTTGAATCCCCTGACTTGAGTTAATGGTGTGGATCCATTGGTGTTGATGAAGCTGTCCACGGAAGTCAACCTTAAGAAAAAAGTACGCTTCCAAGGCGACCCCTGCAAGAACATTGATTTTGTAGAAAATATAACTAACGCATGAACCATGATCTGCCGCTATGCATGGTGTGCTGCCTTGGAGCTCGTTCCTGTATGCGGCGTCTCGGCCAAAATTTGTGTACAGCCGTTCATCGTATTGGCCTCTATTTTCTTCAGGCCCCTCAAGATTGCTGATAGCGCTGCAGTGGTAGCAGCACTGACGGTGTCTATAGGATCCTTATTTGGACTCATGAGGCCCGCAACGAATGTTTTCCCCACAGCCCCAGAAAAGTCTTTCTGTCCCTTTTGGTGACAAACATGTGTTATTTTGTTTGGAGGGGCATATCCTTTATTGGTTGTGGTCCACGTTCCTTTTTGTAGGGTGTCTTTGGGAGGTCCATTCAAACAAAGAAAACACCGAGTTGAACACCAAAGGACGCTTCAGATGGAAAATGTGGGCTATCCAATCTGCATCTCCCATCACTCCATCCAAAACGAAGCGGAAAGACCCAGCAATTCGCTGGCCAGCCAGCCTTTTCCGATGTGGATGGTAGGCATCACTAAATTCCTGGCCCCACGGATCAGCATCAGGAAAGATACCAAGTCCTTAGCAAGGCTTTCTACAGGAAAGGGTAACCTAGGTTTGCGCCATTGTGCATTCAAACCTAACATGCCTGCAAGGTTCGAAGGCATTCAAAACTCCATGCAATCACTTGAAGGATGCTGTCTCTGCAACCACTCATGGTATAGGTGGTGTTGCGGACACTCAGTAGCAACCGCGTGTCCAAAGTGCTCGATATTCCACCAAGCAACGGGAGCATAGTGAACATTTCCCAGGATTGATTCCTGTGTGCATCAGCTCCATCGCCATATAGTCTCAGTGGGATTGCCCAGGGCAAATCATGGTCCTGCATTGTTTTAAGACACACCTTTTCCAACACTTCCAACTTTGGTCCCGCGTTTTTTCAGGAAACGCCTTTTTCATTTCTTTTCCACTTCAACACGTTCCTTCTTAAGAAGCTTGCAGCCGCCTCGATCTCGGGGTGACACATTCGAAGATCTTGGTTGTAGGCCCAGTAGTCCTCGCTAGCCTCAAATTTCAATGGGGCACCCACGAAGAAACTGTTGATTAGCATCTGATTGGCTTGAAGAGGCAAGAAAGCCACCAATTAGAAGCCAAGCAACTCCACCAGGTCCCAGGAAGAGGAAATAGAAGACTTCAGGCCTTTCATTGTGATAGATCAGATGCTGTTCAACATGTCATATGGAAGCATGACATACTGCTTCAAGGCGGTGATAGAACACTAGTTCCGGCCTTCCATAATGATAGATGCTGCTGACAATCTCATGTGGAAGCATGACATACTGCTTCAAGGTGGTGATCTTGGAGCCCTTCTTCCGGATGCGAGGATCAGCCTTGGATCGTAAGCAAACGCTGCTGGGCAAGAATGGACTCTCAGGGACAAAGCTCTCATCAAGAATTGTGCATAACTTTGCCAAGGGACAGGCGCATCAAACCTAGTTGCCAAGAATGTTTTGGTTGGGTGGAGGGGCGTACGCACAAAAAAGCATTCTCATCAGAAACATGAATTGCCGACAAATGGCTCAAAGTAGGATCTTGTGTTGATAGACCCATTTCTGGAATGATCTTTCACGGCCCCACCCATGGCCACAAATGAAACGATGTCCCAAATCCAAGATCTCTTTCCTGTTTGGGTTGGAGCACCATTACACTGGTATCACACATCACACTCCAATGCAATAACGGCAGGGGAAGCAGCAGGAACATGGAATCCGATGCCTGCACCGATGCATCCAAGGAGCGGGACAAGATCATGGTTGAGTCTATGCAGCTGCAAGACAAGCTCCTCCACGTCCTCCAGGGGTGCCTTGTGCAAAGTTAGGTCACACAGCGTGACATGGCTAGTTTGTTCCAAATCCCTTACAATTTGAGTCTAGGCGCGCTTCCACAAGAGATTTTCTTAAAGAGGGTCTTGACCAAGTCGTTGATGACGTCCTTCTGGATGTTGATGGCCAAATCCCTGGCGACAAGCTCAAATTGAACAAAGAAAATACATTGTTGCTGTGCTCAATGGTTCTCCTTGCGTGAAGCATGGTTTGTGCAAAGTTCAAAGTTTTGCAAAAGATCTTTTCTCACTGGATTGCGGGTTGGATGGTACCTTGACCCCGTGCTTTCACAGGGTCAACTGAAATTGGGCTAGGTCTACCAAGTGGGTCATGCCACTTGCGTCCTGAACCCTCCCCCTAAAGCTAAAAGGCTAAAAGCCCGAGTTGCACCCTTCTTCGGCGCTGACAAAGCGCTGCTGGCCTTCATTCCACTCAAGCGCATCAAGGTCTTCTGGTTCTTCGCCTTCCAATGGATCATGAGCAGAAAAAACGGGGCAACTATTGTTTCCGGTCCAATGGATTGAAATAACACAGCAACTCTAGTTTCTGGGGCTCTCTCCTTCATCCGCTTCCGTTGGCGGAACTTCTTCATCCACCTTGATAGTACCTTTCTTTTGCTTCTTTTCTTTCTTTGGCTTATTTTTGGCCTTCTGACCTGGCAAAATTGCGGATGACGAACGATAGATATGGCTCCATAACCTAAGGCCTCCAACCTAATAGCGATGGCATCCAACCTACTAGCCATGGCCCTCCAC